GGCGATGGCGGGACACTGCCGGAGGTGGCAATGGCCCGCCCCGCATACTACAAGCTAGCTTGCAAGCACACAGGCCACTTGACGTAGGGCCTTGGCAAGCTGTGCGCAGGCCCCAGGCACACAAGGGCCTATCCACACGCGAGGTGACGCATAGACGGCTCGCCTGCATGCGACAAGACGCGCGCAGAGTTTGACCCTGCGTTGCGCATGCAGATGGGACATGCGCGTTGTGTGCACGTCCCACATCTACTGTGCATACATGCATGCGTGCACGTCCGGCAGGCAGTTTTCCTTCCCCACGGGATTTTTCCTGTAGGATTTTTTTCTTATTTTTCCCTTTTTTCCAAAATTTCTAATTTTTCTACTAAAATAAAATAAATAATATAAATACAATTAAATTAAAATTAAATAAAAATAATTAAAATAAAATAATATTAAATAAAATCAAAATAATTAAAAATCAACAAGATTCACGTTTTATGATAATTAATTTACATAATAAATTAAATGAATTCAATATGGCCTAAAGGCCTGAATAAATAAGGTTTTCCAAATTAATTAAGTAGAAAGAGGATATCCAACATACTCTCGCACATGGTCTATTTTCTGTGATAGTGTTCTACACTAGATGCATTAACTTAGAAATTTTATATTCAAGGAAAGAAATATTTATCTCATTCACTCTCCTTGGAGTGTCTCGTGAGGCTCTGAATTGTTGCAATGTTTGATATCAATTCTCTCCTTTCTCAGGGAGTCTTATTCACTATTGCACCTCTGTTAACAGCATCTAGCATCCTTATTTTTGTAAGGATCAGTCATTCACAAAAATAATAGATTTATCATATATATCATGTTACAGTTGGCACACAATGTTTTAAACCTTTTTCAATAGTCGTGGAGGCTCTCGGGGTTCTTCTATTTGATGTTATAGATTTCTCTTCTTATCCCAGTAGCTCGAGAAGAATGAAAGAATCTATTTAAGAACGATGTGACCATCTCTCCCAAGTTGTAATGGAATCGAGAGGTAGGTAAAAAAACCAATCTTTGGTTGCATTGTCCAATAAGAATTGGAACGCCCTAAGCTGGATTTGCTCTTCAGAAACTCCTTGTGGTTCCATACTGGAGCACACCACATGGAATTCCTTGAGGTGTTTTATGGATTCTCATTCTCCAATCCTTTGAATTTAGGCAATAAGTGGATCAAACCCGACTTCAGCTCGAAAGGTATATCTAATTCGGAACAATTAATACAAAGGAGTTGTTGGTTCATAGGTGAAGCAGCCAAGTCCTTCAAAGTGTGTTCCCATGCCATCGATTCTTATGCTACTTTAGTTTCTATAGTCTCACTATCTGCTTCAGTTCTTGGCTCCTGTGGTTGCATCTATTTTTGCTATTTAGTCTATTTTCTGAAGCTCTTGGTTGTCTTTTTTATCTTTGGATCATAGAAAAAAGGTTCTTAATGATCATATTTAATCATAAAAAGAGAAAGACAATTAGTTACTCAGTTCCTCGATAACAGTGCCAAATTGATGGGTGTTGAATTCACCAAAAATAAATTCATATTCAATCAATAATACAGAATTATAGTAGTGGTAAATAAGGTCGAATCCTCAGGGAGCCGTAAAATACTTTTCCTATGACCAACTAATAAAAATAAAGACAGAGGGGGTTTCTCTTTTCTTTGAACCAAAGGTAGTAAAAAGGAAATAGTTTTACTAAAATAAATCCTAGCTAAAGAAATTAAAGAAGATTGAAAGCAAATTGAGAATTAATCAGATATGCAAGTATTTCCAGTCAAAGAAATAGCTACACTCCAATTATATGATTGATCATTGATTCAATAATATGGTTTGATGAAAACAAAACAATAAACTAGTTTTAGTTGTTGGAAACGTTCTGATGACTAATCCTTCCTTAATTTTAAACCAACCAAAAAACATTCATTAGCTAATCCTTATTGACAGACAATCTTGGAAATATTCCTAGAATTTAATATGTTAATAGCATTAAGAATCAGAAGAACCTAGTTCTAGACGTCATATTCAACCGCATGATCCACACGACTAGATTGTTTGTTTTTCTTGGTCGGGGACTAAACTACCCTTGGGTGCTGAATTATCCTAAACAATTATGGATTTAAGATATTTTAGCTGGCAATATGTTATTGTGTCACTCACTTAATGGGCTCTATTCAAATGGTTAAACAACAAGAATGATCATATATGCAAAAAATTAAACAAATACTGACATTCAACTAAAACCAAAAATAAAAGCGTTTAGATCTCACAATTATAAATTAGAGTTTGCTAAATCTATAACTGAGAAAAATAAAAGCGTCTAGCCACTCATGATAAATTACAACCCAAGGTTTTTTTTTTATTAAGTGGAAAGAGGAAAGAGAAACGTACAGAAAAGTTGTCGATGTTGCAGTATGTGGTGAGAGGAAGAAAATGATCTTGTGGTTTCTGTCAGCAACTTTTTTTATAGCCAAAAGGATTAGGGTTTCCTTTTGGGACTCTTCCCAATGATTTCGACACTTAACTTGCTTTCCAAAATCATTTTCCTTTTGATGTTTGGTTGTCAATTCCGATTATGGTGGGATTCTCTCTTTCAAATCTTAAAAATGTGCCCTTTTTCAAATCAGCAGCAACGAATGTCCTAAGCCTTGGCCAAGGCTTAGTTAAGTGTGGATTGGACATGCCTCCTACTGTTTGGTGTTAGTTGCACCTAAGGGTAAGTTATGCTTCCTCCTTTTGTTAAAACATAGGCCTTGGTCGAGGCTTACTTGAGCGGGTTCGCAAGTTGTAATTTCGTTGATGCCTTAGCCTTGTCCGAGACACGAGTGAAAGGGAACCTAGGTCTGTTGTTACTAGTCCTAATTCTTGGGTAAGGCTTATTCTTGATCTAACTGCTTCTCTACAAATTTCACCCCTCTTCATGATGTTTTCTTTGATTTTTCTCCCATTTCCTATCCTATATCAAAATGAATAAAATAACTCAAATCAAATAGCAATTATTCCAATTAATTACATGAAGATGGACAATGAAGATGATATTTTTATGCACTATCAATCCACATGTGAAGGAGATCCTTATGGGCCCTCAATGATCGGTGAAAATGGCATCGCATAATGAAACTTAAAAAGTAAATAAAACCCTAGCCCTAAAATGAAATGGTAAAGGATAACTTATTAAAACTTATTGAAATGTATGACATCCGTATATGGATACGTTCTGATGATAGTCTACTAATGATAATGGAAATGTTTGTTATTAAACACAGAAAGATCTATTAACAAGAAGGGAAAGGTTTGTAACAAATAGGGAAAGGTATAAAGAAAAAGAAAAGGAAACAGAAAATAAGATATAGGTGTCTTGAATGAAGAATTCAAACGACCCTATTGAATGTTAAAGATATAGGAAAGGAGAAAATGTGACTGATTGAATAGGAGATGAATTAAGATAAGGGAATAATAGAATCATTAGGCTAGAGGTGGAGATTTAGGAAAGAAATGAAATAAGAAAACTAAAAGGTTTCGAAATTAAGAAAATAAATTTTATCAAAATTAATATTCCATCAGTAGTTTTACTATTTTCTATAACATTTTGATAAGCCATTACGATGTTTTGTTTATGTTTCCTTACTAAGTTAGTATAAATCATCCTCAAATCAGGACACCCAGAACTTTGCTCCTGAACAGTGAAGGACTCACTAGAAATTACTTTATTTTGATAAAAACTTAACGTTAATTATTTTTTTTAGCTGTTAGTACCTATTTTGACATATTAAAATTTTGTTATACGTAGTTGTCTCGTGAAGGAATGTTCTTTATAAATATTAATTTAAATTGTTGTGTTTGATTAATATTTTTATTGGTTCTACTAATTTAGAAAGTTGTGCGTGTACATTCAAGACTCATAAAAGAATCAGGACACTACATTTTCAGTCATCACTATAAAATAAATTATCGAATTAAAATCTTGTTCAAGATTTAGATTAAACATATGATTTATAAAAGTATGATAAAATTAGTTTGACGTATTTATATTTAATAAAAAAATTCAAATATGCTCAAGACTTGATTGGGTCAGAACTATATGATGATGTGATAATCACTTTAACAAAGTATTAATCAAATCAAAGTTTTTATTCTGACTCGCTTACCTAAGAAATATATCAAACTTATGATACATTATACAAAGCATGATGAAAGTGTGTAATTGAAGGTTATATGGTATAACAAGTACACAAATCGTGTCATTCATTAATAACATGATACAAATCTCATTATATATATTTTATTATTCAATTCAAATTTTAATAAATAAAAATGTAATACTCACATCAACATGTTTCAGGTATAAAAAAATAATTATTTCCTGATTGTGATGTATTCTAAAGAGCAAATGCTTGAATCTCGCATAGCCAAGACAAACCCATTAATGCAACAAATTTAAAGGCAATAGTTTGCCTTTCTCAAATCTATATGATAAGAAAAACATTCATATATTTTGATTTTTACTCCTCGATAGAAATGGGATGTTGCTGACCTTTATATTGCCATCCAATTGAAAATCTTTATCATTGAGCATGTTCTCTCACACCTTTAACTTAAGTTTTTGTCCTCCCACTAAGAAAAATTCTTAAACAAATCTTCCGCAACAATGATCAGTCTTACCTCTTCATCCAGATCTTGACAGTCCCTCAATACACTAATCGAACTATTTGGGGATGAAACATCTCTAGTCCACAATAAAAGACATCTCCCAAGACCATACTTTTATAAAATTCTTCAGAATTAATCACAATTGTTCTACTTCTGTCTCATATATATGTATATATACATATATATTCAGTCCCGTAAAAAATTAATTTAAAACATGTGATGGTATCAAGAATATTTTAGCAAATTCATTGTATTCATGTATTAGGCACTAAATGCTAAAGAAGAAGGCAGATTTGTTCAAACTATTTCCAAATATTGTTAGGAAGAATGAAGTGACATGAAAGGAACTATATATATGTTTATAACATCAAATACAAGTACTAAGTAATCCCACTCAAATAAATGTATACGCATATATGTATATATCTATGTATCTATGCTTATTTCTAGTCAACCCTGTTAATTACTTAGGGTGGCTGGTAATTATTTAATATGATATATGTAAATCCTGCAAAGCGAAGACTTCAATCAACACAACAACAGTACATAATATTCTTCTCCATCTGACGGCCGCATTCAACACACTTCAACTTTTCAGGAACCCCTAAGTTGATCTCTGTAAACACTAGTCGAAGGCAGTGATGTGAGTTGTGAATCTGTCGCAGGTAACCATTCAGTGCTACCACCATACTGATATCATCTTTGCAAGACACCTCATGAAACCATGAACGATACTCTAACATGCTTCTCAGAGCCGTCTCTCCTTTGGCCGCCCTTGTCAATCCTCCTGATGATCCTTCACAGAAAATCGCCCAGTCATGGTCGCTCCCGTCAAAGCTCAGTATCGTCATAACCTCTTTCATTATGATGTCGTATTGATCAACCATATTGGCCTTGTTGTACTGTTTAAGCTTTGAGTACAACATGCTTTCCAGACGAGCCCAGAAGGAGCAGTAGTAAAGAGAGCGTTTAGTAGCAGGCCAGCAATCACTTAGCTGCTCATCTTTGATGGTACAAGCGATTTTGTTTGCCTTCTTGGAATTGCTCTTTCCAACATAAACTAATCCCAGGGAGATGCAAGAGGCTGCTTTCGCAAAAGCTTTTACTGCTCCTGTGAATTCTCTTATCCATTTTATATTTTCACCTCCATACAGGCATATCAACCTTTTTCCACCCACCTGATCATCATCAACCAGAAAGAATCCCACTTTAATTAACATGATGATGGTAAAGAAGACAAAATCTATATATACCCATATTATATGTATGTTTAAAGATAGAGGTATACTATACATAACTACAAAGTAATATCTATGAAGACTAAAAATCCCACTCTAATTAACATGATGATGGTAAAGAAGACAAAACTACATATACCCATATTACATATATGTTTAAAGATAGAGGTACATGATATATAACTACAAAGTAATTATATATAAAGACTAACCCAGTGACGTAGCTCTGTATCAGTAGGGCCATGGACAAGAAGATTAAGATTCCAAGTCTGTGTTTTCCATAATGCGGCCTCTTTGTCATCGCTGAAGGGAAAAGCCTTATTTCCCCATATCCACAACATGTGGAGAGCATTTTTGCAGGTCACCTTTCCTTGTGGATCCACTGTTACGACAATTGGCTTCCTTTTGAAATACAGTTCTTCCTTGATGTAATTAGTGACCCACGGTTGTATCATAACAGTTGGGTGCAAGGCAAGCCATGGCATGGTTTCTTTGAGCTCCTCAAATAGAGCGTGCCAATTAGGTCTAGAGTACATGTCCACCACAGGCATCCATATCACGTCGAACTGGACTAACCCATCTGGGTTTTCTCCTGAATCTTGTTTAAGTTGCTTAAGAAGTTCAATTACTTCATGGGGGACGTCAAGATCCGATATGAGCAGTAACAAATGCTTTCTCCTCATTACTTCGACTTGAACCTGTATATACATGGATTAAGTGTTTTATAATGAAAAAAGATGCTGGAAATTTTAGAGATGAAGTAGAATGGGAATGGAATTAGAGCAAACCATTTCGTTGTAATAAATATTAAGTAAAGCCTCAAGAATCTTCATGTTTTTCCTTTTGGGGGTTTGTTCCAAGAGGGAGCTGTACGTACTGAGTCTTAAGTAAGCTTTCTAATTTATCTGCATCAAAAGATCGTTTTTATAATTCTAACGATTGACTGTTGCAACCAAAAGAGCTGTATGTGTTTTTGATTCACGAAATTCGATATGAAAATAATTAATATTCAGGAGAATATTATTTTGAGAAACTTACAAAAAGAACACTTGACTTAACTATACTTACAAACAGATCTTTCTATTCTGTAAAAATGGCATAAACGTCCATATAACTGTTACAACAACAAAAATGGGATTAGGTTTTTTACATTCTCTCTCTAAAAATGTCTTAACCCATTAAAACTAAAAACTAAAGAAGGCATTCTTATAAAAAAAAATAGTAGATAAGACATTAAATTATAAAAAAGGTATTATTCAAATCATACCACCCCTACCCCAAGTACAATCAACCCCAATGTATGATATGTTTTTACCTTCTCAAAGAAAAGAAAAAAGAAATCATTGGATTCCTTGCATTTGGATCCATAATTATGTATGCAAGTAAAAATATGATTAGAGAGGTAATGTTTTCACAAAATAATATTTATGATGTACATGTATAGAGAAAAATGTACTGTAAAGGCTAAGACGTACAACATGTTCAAAATTACTTATTTACTGTATAAGAGCAATTCTAAGCATCTTACTCAATCTATTTACCTGTTAATTTAAAAAGCAATTATTAGCTTTTATTATCTAAAGTAGATAACAATAACTAATTCATTTCTAGTTTTTTATTCTTCTAATTAAATTATTTCATCATTTTCATAAATAATGATCTCTATTATAATGTAAGTTACAAAATAATAATTAGGTGTATTTAATAAATTTTTTAATGAACACAACAACTTATTTTTTTTAATACAATACATAATGAGATAAGAAACTTTTATGTATTGCTATATGAATTTGATTAACTCCGGATATAAACATAGTTGTATAAGTAGATAAGCTCAACAAAGTTTAGATGAGAAAATCCTCTATTATACATTTGATTCAAACCTATTCAATTCCTAATACGTAGTTATGTGATATCCAGAAGTTAAATAGATTTGATGCATAATTGTCAACTTTAATCAGATCTTTGATTAAACAATCATATATATATATATATATTTATATATTCTCATATGTCAAGAAATGAATAATAAAAACATCTTATTTAAATTGGACAAGAAATTTACTCAAGTTAGAATATTAGTTTTATTCAAATCCTATTACATTTTTATTATATTTTTATGTTTATTTATAAAATTAGAATTAAACATAATTAAACGTAAATACTTTTTATGATATAAAAATACTTCAAAAAATTATATGATCATCTGCTGGATTATAAATGAGATTTTTTTCCTTTTTGCTAAAATAAAAAAAAATGAAAAAACAACACAAAAAGTTAGTGTCTGATTAAACGGGTCCAAGCAATATCATAATGGTCCAAGAACAAATAGACATGATGGCTAGGAGGGGCAATAGTCAAAAAAGATGCAATCAAGGTGGATGTGGTTGCTTAGTGTGCCAATTGATCAATATGCAAATTATTTTCGTCATAGATATGTGAGAATTAAAAATTTTAATAAAGATTTAGCGTGTCATGAATCTGACATGAATACATGGAATCGTATCTAGTAGGGTTTTAAAGGATGTGCTTGATATGAAGGAAGTCAACCTCAACAATGAGATTCTTCAAACTTAAACTCATGCAAGCTTAAGACCATCAAGGACATCAATAATCAGAGCCCTACCAACACCCAGATTGTTCATGAACCCCTTCACCGAATTATCACAGTTATCTCTAATTAGACTACTAGTAAAAGCAAGCTTAGAGTCACATGAGTAAAACCATCAATACTAAGTTTGTACCACTCAGTAAGAGGAGTCTTCAGATTAACCCAAAGGTACCTAGAGGGATCAAATAAGCCAATAAGGTCATTAACCCTTCGTTTAAGCCTTCTAGAACTCCAAGACAATGTTGATGATGTTGGAATTAGATGTGAGAATTTTGTTATCAGCACTATTAAAGATAGTTTCATTTCTCTGTCTCTACAAAATCCAAGCTGTTATATGAAAAATCATTTTTTAACTAACAGTATCATGGGAGCTAATATTTGTATTGCTATTCCAAGCAACCTATTAAAAAGAAAAGAAACGAATTTATTCGCATACCAATTATCAATTAACTCATTCCATACTTGGGAAGCAGATAGCCAATATCTAATGGTGTATGAACTGTCATCCCTACCTATATGACACCTTTGACAATTATTAGTAATGCAGGAAGGTATGGGAAGGATCGAACCAACTCCTATAACTCACTCAACATATGCAATACCGAAACTTAATCTCTTAGAAAACTTTTCCCTCTAATTGAATATATAATCCTAAAATAAACGCAAAAATAAATACTAGAGAAAATAAACAGTGAAAGAAAAAAATGTCACAGACTTACCAATTAGTTGATCCCCGCTCCTTGCATTAACAAGATTTCTAAAAACTTCTACTTCTCGAAGAACTTGAAGCTAAAAATTAGCAAAAATGCTAATTGAAGAAAACTCTAAGTTTTTAATAATATTTCTCTCAATTGATTGTAATGTGTTTACAACTTATGAGCAAAGGCTTATTTATAGGCTTTCCCAGTATAGTTCTAAATTATCACAACCACTTGAAAAATTAATAAACTAATATACTAGATAAAATTTTAATTTTAAAATAATTACATAATAAAATATTTATTATATCATATCTACAAGATAATTAATTAAATAATTTTAGGAATAGAATTTACATTAAAATAATAACTCAAATAAGATAGAATTTATCCCATATATTTTTGATGTAAAACACATAGAGAATTAATTAAAATATATGAAAAAATTAAGGTGGGGTCCAAGAAGAAAATAAAAATATTAGTAGAATATCCTATGTGATTTCATGTAAAACACATGGAAAAATTAAATCAAACATGTGAAAAATGAGATGCAGTCCAAGATGGACTCAAGGAAGTGGAGGGTTGGGCCACAGGTTGGATTGAGTGCGTGAGTCGGGTCATGGGACCGCGTGTGGAATGGGTCATGTGCTAGATGTGAGTTTATGGTTCGCCTGTTGGGTCCGCGCGGGCGGACCGTGCAGGCGAGGCTGCTGCCCGGCTTGAACCCGTATGTGCATGGGCCTTGCTGCACCCATGGACGTCTCGCACATGCCCATGGGCTGCGCATGCAGGTGGCTTGCCTTGACCGACTATCTTTCGGGTCATGAGACCATGGGGCCTTCTCGAGTTAGGCTTAAAACTTGGACTAGCTTTTAATTCTTTAAGCCCATTAATCTTACTTGGGCCTTAAGTTTCCTTTGGATAAATTTAGCCCATTACGAGGAATAATCCCATTTAGGAAAGCATTCAGAGATGAAATTACTTTTCTGTTCTGAGAGATCTTGTTTTAGAAACAAAAAGATGTTGGCATCAATTTCCTGTTTAGATGGGACCTGCGGGAATGTATGTGTAGTCTGTTGTGCTGCAGAGGACTTGCAGATAATTATTTTACAGGAGTCTAATTTTTCAGGGAGTTTCTCCTTGATGCGGAATTGCATTTTTGGAATTAATTTTGGGCTGTCTAAGATCACATCATTCCCTCCTTCAAAAAGATCTGTCATCAAATTTGAACTTTCATCATGAAGGAAAAGATTGGTGATTACAGTAGGAAATACACCATACTTCCCCGACATATTTACTTTGTTATTGATACATGTCATGACTTGATTCACAATTTCTCTAGGATATGGATCAAATCTTCATAGCCCACTTGCGATGGTAATTATCTGTAAGAGGAAAATAATACGATTATACACAAAGTGGTTAAGGTCAAAATAAATTTTTATGTAGGTAAGTACAATCAAACTTCCCTTTTTAAAATAGATAATCTTTAATATTATGTCCCTGTCACCCGAACACTCCCTTGTTTTTTCTCTTCATTTTTCTCTTAGTGGACCACCTTTAACCATCTACTGGGTACCTTTTATGCTCAATAGACTATTAACTTTCTCTACGACCTTTTTTCTCTCTTCGACTCTTCTTGAATATTCATTAAATGATTGTTTAATTTTGACCAAATCTCCATGTGCCTCTTATGGTGATAGAGGCGTAAGGACATGATTTAGACCGTTATTTCGCAATGAAGATCGATTGGTGCGGTCGTTATGTTGTACATGTCTATCAAACTGCTAAGGTCTCCCAAATATCATATGACTGGCATGCATAGTACGATATCACAACATACCTCATCATGATATTTTTTGATGGAGAATGGTACTATGACTTGTTCGGTAACTTGGACTTTGTCACACTTATTCAATCACTATAACTAGTAGGGATTTGGATGTTTGATGCATTTCAACCCTACTCTTTTCACGAATAGAGTGTTTGTAACATTAACACAGCTACCACCGTCAATGACCATTCCACATACCTTATCATTGACAAGGCATCGCATGTAGAATATGTTCTCCTTCTGCTCGTTGTCCTCTCCCTAGGCTTACAGGTTCATGACCCTTCAAACAACAATCCACAAGGGAATTATGTCACTGTGTTGAAACACAGTGAATTTTCATGCAAGGTAAAGGTTAATTAAAGAAATCTCTCCATCACCTTCACTTGTGTTTAACCTCACAATCCCTCAACACTCATGCTTTAAGTTGAGCCTTTAGAATCGGATCTCTTTAATCGGGACTGCACACTAGTCCCAAAGATACTGACAAGGAATCCTACAGGAAAGCTGACTCTAAAGCTCAAAATTTAAGCTCACAGATAAAGAATTGCGATGCTTAAACAATGCAAAGGCAATATGAATGATGTAAATAGAATGAAAAACAAAAAGTTTTCACTCGCATCTAGTAGATGACTTACTTTTCCTTTTAATGGTTTTCTGACAATATATTAGGCAGTTACTCTATTTGTGTCATGAAAAAATACAAATAACATACCAATTGTCTTATGGGGTGCAATTAGGATATTTTATATTTTTAGATATATAATTTTTTTAATAATGGAATAAACACAAAATTAATTAAAACGAACAAATATAATGGATTCAAGTAATATACAAACGAATTAACAACCAAATAATTCGTTTTTAATGTTAAATTAAGAATAAAAATGCTAAAAGTAGTAAAGATAATTTTGGATTTTAGGAGCCTAAACTCTTATAGCAAATGACGCGGGAGGGTATAGAAAGGATCGAATCAACTCCTATAACTCACTCAATATCTGCAATACCGAAACTTAA